TGCGTGCGTGCGTGCGTGCGTGCGTGCGTGCGTGCGTGCGTGCGTGCGTGCGTGCGTGCGTGCGTGCGTGCGTGCGTGCGTGCGTGCGTGCGTGCGTGCGTGCGTGCGTGCGTGCGTGCGTGCGTGCGTGCGTGCGTGCGTGCGTGCGTGCGTGCGTGCGTGCGTGCGTGCGTGCGTGCGTGCGTGCGTGCGTGCGTGCGTGCGTGCGTGCGTGCGTGCGTGCGTGCGTGCGTGCGTGCGTGCGTGCGTGCGTGCGTGCGTGCGTGCGTGCGTGCGTGCGTGCGTGCGTGCGTGCGTGCGTGCGTGCGTGCGTGCGTGCGTGCGTGCGTGCGTGCGTGCGTGCGTGCGTGCGTGCGTGCGTGCGTGCGTGCGTGCGTGCGTGCGTGCGTGCGTGCGTGCGTGCGTGCGTGCGTGCGTGCGTGCGTGCGTGCGTGCGTGCGTGCGTGCGTGCGTGCGTGCGTGCGTGCGTGCGTGCGTGCGTGCGTGCGTGCGTGCGTGCGTGCGTGCGTGCGTGCGTGCGTGCGTGCGTGCGTGCGTGCGTGCGTGCGTGCGTGCGTGCGTGCGTGCGTGCGTGCGTGCGTGCGTGCGTGCGTGCGTGCGTGCGTGCGTGCGTGCGTGCGTGCGTGCGTGCGTGCGTGCGTGCGTGCGTGCGTGCGTGCGTGCGTGCGTGCGTGCGTGCGTGCGTGCGTGCGTGCGTGCGTGCGTGCGTGCGTGCGTGCGTGCGTGCGTGCGTGCGTGCGTGCGTGCGTGCGTGCGTGCGTGCGTGCGTGCGTGCGTGCGTGCGTGCGTGCGTGCGTGCGTGCGTGCGTGCGTGCGTGCGTGCGTGCGTGCGTGCGTGCGTGCGTGCGTGCGTGCGTGCGTGCGTGCGTGCGTGCGTGCGTGCGTGCGTGCGTGCGTGCGTGCGTGCGTGCGTGCGTGCGTGCGTGCGTGCGTGCGTGCGTGCGTGCGTGCGTGCGTGCGTGCGTGCGTGCGTGCGTGCGTGCGTGCGTGCGTGCGTGCGTGCGTGCGTGCGTGCGTGCGTGCGTGCGTGCGTGCGTGCGTGCGTGCGTGCGTGCGTGCGTGCGTGCGTGCGTGCGTGCGTGCGTGCGTGCGTGCGTGCGTGCGTGCGTGCGTGCGTGCGTGCGTGCGTGCGTGCGTGCGTGCGTGCGTGCGTGCGTGCGTGCGTGCGTGCGTGCGTGCGTGCGTGCGTGCGTGCGTGCGTGCGTGCGTGCGTGCGTGCGTGCGTGCGTGCGTGCGTGCGTGCGTGCGTGCGTGCGTGCGTGCGTGCGTGCGTGCGTGCGTGCGTGCGTGCGTGCGTGCGTGCGTGCGTGCGTGCGTGCGTGCGTGCGTGCGTGCGTGCGTGCGTGCGTGCGTGCGTGCGTGCGTGCGTGCGTGCGTGCGTGCGTGCGTGCGTGCGTGCGTGCGTGCGTGCGTGCGTGCGTGCGTGCGTGCGTGCGTGCGTGCGTGCGTGCGTGCGTGCGTGCGTGCGTGCGTGCGTGCGTGCGTGCGTGCGTGCGTGCGTGCGTGCGTGCGTGCGTGCGTGCGTGCGTGCGTGCGTGCGTGCGTGCGTGCGTGCGTGCGTGCGTGCGTGCGTGCGTGCGTGCGTGCGTGCGTGCGTGCGTGCGTGCGTGCGTGCGTGCGTGCGTGCGTGCGTGCGTGCGTGCGTGCGTGCGTGCGTGCGTGCGTGCGTGCGTGCGTGCGTGCGTGCGTGCGTGCGTGCGTGCGTGCGTGCGTGCGTGCGTGCGTGCGTGCGTGCGTGCGTGCGTGCGTGCGTGCGTGCGTGCGTGCGTGCGTGCGTGCGTGCGTGCGTGCGTGCGTGCGTGCGTGCGTGCGTGCGTGCGTGCGTGCGTGCGTGCGTGCGTGCGTGCGTGCGTGCGTGCGTGCGTGCGTGCGTGCGTGCGTGCGTGCGTGCGTGCGTGCGTGCGTGCGTGCGTGCGTGCGTGCGTGCGTGCGTGCGTGCGTGCGTGCGTGCGTGCGTGCGTGCGTGCGTGCGTGCGTGCGTGCGTGCGTGCGTGCGTGCGTGCGTGCGTGCGTGCGTGCGTGCGTGCGTGCGTGCGTGCGTGCGTGCGTGCGTGCGTGCGTGCGTGCGTGCGTGCGTGCGTGCGTGCGTGCGTGCGTGCGTGCGTGCGTGCGTGCGTGCGTGCGTGCGTGCGTGCGTGCGTGCGTGCGTGCGTGCGTGCGTGCGTGCGTGCGTGCGTGCGTGCGTGCGTGCGTGCGTGCGTGCGTGCGTGCGTGCGTGCGTGCGTGCGTGCGTGCGTGCGTGCGTGCGTGCGTGCGTGCGTGCGTGCGTGCGTGCGTGCGTGCGTGCGTGCGTGCGTGCGTGCGTGCGTGCGTGCGTGCGTGCGTGCGTGCGTGCGTGCGTGCGTGCGTGCGTGCGTGCGTGCGTGCGTGCGTGCGTGCGTGCGTGCGTGCGTGCGTGCGTGCGTGCGTGCGTGCGTGCGTGCGTGCGTGCGTGCGTGCGTGCGTGCGTGCGTGCGTGCGTGCGTGCGTGCGTGCGTGCGTGCGTGCGTGCGTGCGTGCGTGCGTGCGTGCGTGCGTGCGTGCGTGCGTGCGTGCGTGCGTGCGTGCGTGCGTGCGTGCGTGCGTGCGTGCGTGCGTGCGTGCGTGCGTGCGTGCGTGCGTGCGTGCGTGCGTGCGTGCGTGCGTGCGTGCGTGCGTGCGTGCGTGCGTGCGTGCGTGCGTGCGTGCGTGCGTGCGTGCGTGCGTGCGTGCGTGCGTGCGTGCGTGCGTGCGTGCGTGCGTGCGTGCGTGCGTGCGTGCGTGCGTGCGTGCGTGCGTGCGTGCGTGCGTGCGTGCGTGCGTGCGTGCGTGCGTGCGTGCGTGCGTGCGTGCGTGCGTGCGTGCGTGCGTGCGTGCGTGCGTGCGTGCGTGCGTGCGTGCGTGCGTGCGTGCGTGCGTGCGTGCGTGCGTGCGTGCGTGCGTGCGTGCGTGCGTGCGTGCGTGCGTGCGTGCGTGCGTGCGTGCGTGCGTGCGTGCGTGCGTGCGTGCGTGCGTGCGTGCGTGCGTGCGTGCGTGCGTGCGTGCGTGCGTGCGTGCGTGCGTGCGTGCGTGCGTGCGTGCGTGCGTGCGTGCGTGCGTGCGTGCGTGCGTGCGTGCGTGCGTGCGTGCGTGCGTGCGTGCGTGCGTGCGTGCGTGCGTGCGTGCGTGCGTGCGTGCGTGCGTGCGTGCGTGCGTGCGTGCGTGCGTGCGTGCGTGCGTGCGTGCGTGCGTGCGTGCGTGCGTGCGTGCGTGCGTGCGTGCGTGCGTGCGTGCGTGCGTGCGTGCGTGCGTGCGTGCGTGCGTGCGTGCGTGCGTGCGTGCGTGCGTGCGTGCGTGCGTGCGTGCGTGCGTGCGTGCGTGCGTGCGTGCGTGCGTGCGTGCGTGCGTGCGTGCGTGCGTGCGTGCGTGCGTGCGTGCGTGCGTGCGTGCGTGCGTGCGTGCGTGCGTGCGTGCGTGCGTGCGTGCGTGCGTGCGTGCGTGCGTGCGTGCGTGGGTGTCTGTGTGCGTGCGTGTCTGTCTGTGTGTGAGTGAGTGTGCGTGCGTGTCTGTCTGTGTGTGCGTGTCTGTCTGTGTGCATGCGTGTGAGTGTGCGTACGTGTCTGTCTGTGTGTGCGTAGGTGTCTGTGAGTGTGTCTGTGTGCGTGCGTGTCTGTGTGTGTGTGTGTGTGTTTGTGTGTGTGTGTGTGTGTGAGATCATGCTGACGTGTAGCTCACGCGTGTCCTTCACCTTTAGCGCTGCTGCTCTTTACTCCAGCGGCTGCTGACTGACGGATTGCGCAACACCAGCGCTCATTCATTCACACCTCCGATGATGATGATGATGATGATGGTGATGATCAGAAACGCTCTGAATATGAACACTGACTCGTGTGGACGCCTCACCTGAGACCCGCATGTTGACTCTTCAGTGGCTTGACTTAGTTTGCTGCTGATTATCTACCTCAAAAAAAGCTTATTTTGAATGAACTTTCTACATGCTCTGGTATCAAATGCTTCAATCCTGATAAGGTTTTATCGCAGAGTTGCTGTATGGTATTGCATTACAAAAGAGGTTGGAAGATAAAAGTTACGGATGTTCGTTATGACCAGGTGTAGGTCTGTAAATAAAATAAAAAATTACATTGAAATCATAGCTCATGTACAGAACATTACATACGGCCAAATAATTCATTAGTAATCCGTTTGATGGCTTAATCAGATCGATTGATTGAGCTTGATCTGAGTGAAATCTGATTAGAGTGTAGACTGAAATATGACTGCTTCTCAGTCGGATTCATTAATACATGAAGCACATGTGCAGTGCCACGATTAGGATGTTTACATATGTTTCACATCTTCCAAACACGCACGTGTGTTTAATTCTGTTTTATGAGCTGGCCAGTAGTATTTGCACAAAAAAAAAGCGGTTCTGAAATATTGGTCAGCTTTGTTTATTAATGTGTCATCCAGACAAATACAACCCTGCGACTGAAGAACTGCACAATGTTCATAAACAAAACCCTGAAATCAGATTGGTCGTAAAAGTTTTAATTCTCCTATCCACAAATTAAGGCTTTAAAAAGATCTTAAAGCAAAAAGTCGTAAATGTGTAAATTCATGGCATTAAATGTTGCATGCAATGCAAAAAAAAAAGTTTTGTTTTCCAAAACGCGACAGAATCGCTCAAATATCACAAGCATTCAGAAGCACACTGCACTCCCGACGAAATGGACAAGTTAATCATCTAATATTAAACTTTTGAACATTTATTAAAAGTACTGAGTGACTGATACCATCTGTGTGCTTTACTTTATTTTCAAGCTCTGAGGTAATCTGTGTTGCTGCTTTCAGTGTGGCTATATTCAAACTCACATTAGACACTTTTAACACTGAATAAAGCACATAATCAGTACCTGAGGTTATCACTGTTATAGTTTGTATGTTGTTGTTCCAGCCGTGATGTCAGAAATAGAAACGTTGCGTTCAGACATTTCTGTGTGTGTGTATTTACTCAACACACTGCAGAACAGCAGAAATGCGTGATTTGATTAATGATAATCGTATTCAATACATACTCAAAACGCCTGAAGTTTGACCTGTTAAATCTCTTAATACGTCTATTTCTTTTCAGAAGTTCCACGGCCTGGATATGTCCTTCATATTTGACTGGATTTATAGTGGTTTCAGTAGCGTTCTGCAGTTCCTGGGTAAGTTCCTCTCCAAGTTCATTTCCCGATCAAACACCGTTAAAAACACGGGTTTCCAGATCGCAGCCCAGCTTACTTCGGTAGTGTGAAATATTTCAACAACAGAAACGTAGTGTGTGTGATTTGATGTAATTCTCCAGGAGGAGTTTGGGTCATGGAAAGTGAATGTTTTGTACAGAAATGCAATCAGAGTTGCATGTGAATGTGTTAAACCTGTCAGCTAGCATTATCCAGCAGCCTGCAGAGCTGCATCAGTAGAACACCTCATTTCATTCGCCACTGTGTGATAGTTAATGATACTTAACCATAAGTAGCATTCAATTGGATAAAATCATTCTGTTTCAGGGCTGTACAAGAAGTCTGGCAAGTTAGTATTCCTCGGTCTGGACAATGCTGGCAAAACGACGCTGCTGCATATGCTCAAAGACGACAGACTGGGTCAGCATGTGCCAACCTTACACCCCAGTAAGAGACCGTTTCAGCACACACACCCAACAGAGGTTTCACTTTCAGTCTTCTCTGAATGCATCTGTAGCCTGAAGAGAACGAGAGAGTTCAGCTCTGGACGCGCATGAGCGACAGACTTTCATTCTGGACTTTGAAACTATACTACACTACTTCCAGTTGGCCGTTCTGTCATATTCACGTCATATTCTATGAAAGCCTGTTTCCACCATGGAATAAAAAAGGCAATGCAACTCACAGTTCTGACCTTATTTTTTGCAATTCCGAGTTATCGCGCAATTCTGACTTTACGGCTCTTTAAAAAAATATATGCAATTCCAAGAAGAAAAGTCAGAGTTACAAGAATTTGCTTAGAATTTAAAGTTGATTTCTTTTCAAGGGTGTCTAATTTCATAGAAGAATCATAAATGTGTGTTTTGTTAAATTCCTTTTCGTTTTCACTGTAATGATGAAATCACACATGATGTACAGAAAATGAACGTTTCGTTCACAACATGAATACTGTAATCCCGACAGAGCTTTCGTTCACTAAAGTAGGCAGACCCAGAGAAAGCCCAGCAGCTGATATTCACTAGCATATGTGAAAACAGCATTGCGTGCTCTTTGTTTGAGAAAACATGATTCCCAGTGAGCACAAACTTTCAGATTACTGATGCAGCATTTCAGTGTTTACTTCCTTTTCAAGTCATGTTTTTAACAGTTTCTTTATTGGTGATGGCATTACAGAATTCAGAAGTTATTTATTTCACAAGTTTAAGCCGAATGTGGACAGGAATAATCCCTGCGTGTGTTTCTCCTCTTAGCCTCCGAGGAGCTGACGATTGCTGGCATGACCTTCACCACGTTCGATCTGGGTGGCCACGCTCAGGGTGAGTAGACGGATCCACAGCTCGCCGTCTGTCTGCATCAGATCACGTGTGTGCTCAGTGTTGTGTTTCTGCGCAGCTCGACGAGTGTGGAAGAACTACCTCCCAGCCATCAACGGCATCGTCTTCCTGGTGGACTGCGCCGATCTCACCAGACTGACCGCGTGCGTGTCTGAGTGCGTGCGTGTCTGAGTGTGTGCGTGCGTGTCTGAGTGTGTGCGTACGTGTCTGTCTGTGTGCGTGCGTGGGTGTCTGTGTGCGTGCGTGGGTGTCTGTGTGCGTGCGTGTCTGTCTGTGTGCGTGTCTGTCTGTCTGTGTGCGTGTCTGTCTGTCTGTGTGTGAGTGTGCGTGCGTGGGTGTCTGTGTGCGTGCGTGTGAGTGTGCGTGCGTGCGTGCGTGGGTGTCTGTGTGCGTGCGTGTCTGTCTGTGTGTGAGTGAGTGTGCGTGCGTGTCTGTCTGTGTGTGAGTGAGTGTGCGTGCGTGTCTGTCTGTGTGTGAGTGAGTGTGCGTGCGTGTCTGTCTGTGTGTGCGTGTCTGTCTGTGTGTGAGTGAGTGTGCGTGCGTGTCTGTCTGTGTGTGCGTGTCTGTCTGTGTGTGAGTGAGTGTGCGTGCGTGTCTGTCTGTGTGTGCGTGTCTGTCTGTGTGTGAGTGAGTGTGCGTGCGTGTCTGTCTGTGTGTGCGTAGGTGTCTGTGAGTGTGTCTGTGTGCGTGCGTGTCTGTGTGTGTGTGTGTGTGTTTGTGTGTGTGTGTGTGTGTGAGATCATGCTGACGTGTAGCTCACGCGTGTCCTTCACCTTTAGCGCTGCTGCTCTTTACTCCAGCGGCTGCTGACTGACGGATTGCGCAACACCAGCGCTCATTCATTCACACCTCCGATGATGATGATGATGATGATGATGATCAGAAACGCTCTGAATATGAACACTGACTCGTGTGGACGCCTCACCTGAGACCCGCATGTTGACTCTTCAGTGGCTTGACTTAGTTTGCTGCTGATTATCTACCTCAAAAAAAGCTTATTTTGAATGAACTTTCTACATGCTCTGGTATCAAATGCTTCAATCCTGATAAGGTTTTATCGCAGAGTTGCTGTATGGTATTGCATTACAAAAGAGGTTGGAAGATAAAAGTTACGGATGTTCGTTATGACCAGGTGTAGGTCTGTAAATAAAATAAAAAATTACATTGAAATCATAGCTCATGTACAGAACATTACATACGGCCAAATAATTCATTAGTAATCCGTTTGATGGCTTAATCAGATCGATTGATTGAGCTTGATCTGAGTGAAATCTGATTAGAGTGTAGACTGAAATATGACTGCTTCTCAGTCGGATTCATTAATACATGAAGCACATGTGCAGTGCCACGATTAGGATGTTTACATATGTTTCACATCTTCCAAACACGCACGTGTGTTTAATTCTGTTTTATGAGCTGGCCAGTAGTATTTGCACAAAAAAAAAGCGGTTCTGAAATATTGGTCAGCTTTGTTTATTAATGTGTCATCCAGACAAATACAACCCTGCGACTGAAGAACTGCACAATGTTCATAAACAAAACCCTGAAATCAGATTGGTCGTAAAAGTTTTAATTCTCCTATCCACAAATTAAGGCTTTAAAAAGATCTTAAAGCAAAAAGTCGTAAATGTGTAAATTCATGGCATTAAATGTTGCATGCAATGCAAAAAAAAAAGTTTTGTTTTCCAAAACGCGACAGAATCGCTCAAATATCACAAGCATTCAGAAGCACACTGCACTCCCGACGAAATGGACAAGTTAATCATCTAATATTAAACTTTTGAACATTTATTAAAAGTACTGAGTGACTGATACCATCTGTGTGCTTTACTTTATTTTCAAGCTCTGAGGTAATCTGTGTTGCTGCTTTCAGTGTGGCTATATTCAAACTCACATTAGACACTTTTAACACTGAATAAAGCACATAATCAGTACCTGAGGTTATCACTGTTATAGTTTGTATGTTGTTGTTCCAGCCGTGATGTCAGAAATAGAAACGTTGCGTTCAGACATTTCTGTGTGTGTGTATTTACTCAACACACTGCAGAACAGCAGAAATGCGTGATTTGATTAATGATAATCGTATTCAATACATACTCAAAACGCCTGAAGTTTGACCTGTTAAATCTCTTAATACGTCTATTTCTTTTCAGAAGTTCCACGGCCTGGATATGTCCTTCATATTTGACTGGATTTATAGTGGTTTCAGTAGCGTTCTGCAGTTCCTGGGTAAGTTCCTCTCCAAGTTCATTTCCCGATCAAACACCGTTAAAAACACGGGTTTCCAGATCGCAGCCCAGCTTACTTCGGTAGTGTGAAATATTTCAACAACAGAAACGTAGTGTGTGTGATTTGATGTAATTCTCCAGGAGGAGTTTGGGTCATGGAAAGTGAATGTTTTGTACAGAAATGCAATCAGAGTTGCATGTGAATGTGTTAAACCTGTCAGCTAGCATTATCCAGCAGCCTGCAGAGCTGCATCAGTAGAACACCTCATTTCATTCGCCACTGTGTGATAGTTAATGATACTTAACCATAAGTAGCATTCAATTGGATAAAATCATTCTGTTTCAGGGCTGTACAAGAAGTCTGGCAAGTTAGTATTCCTCGGTCTGGACAATGCTGGCAAAACGACGCTGCTGCATATGCTCAAAGACGACAGACTGGGTCAGCATGTGCCAACCTTACACCCCAGTAAGAGACCGTTTCAGCACACACACCCAACAGAGGTTTCACTTTCAGTCTTCTCTGAATGCATCTGTAGCCTGAAGAGAACGAGAGAGTTCAGCTCTGGACGCGCATGAGCGACAGACTTTCATTCTGGACTTTGAAACTATACTACACTACTTCCAGTTGGCCGTTCTGTCATATTCACGTCATATTCTATGAAAGCCTGTTTCCACCATGGAATAAAAAAGGCAATGCAACTCACAGTTCTGACCTTATTTTTTGCAATTCCGAGTTATCGCGCAATTCTGACTTTACGGCTCTTTAAAAAAATATATGCAATTCCAAGAAGAAAAGTCAGAGTTACAAGAATTTGCTTAGAATTTAAAGTTGATGGTTTCTTTGTGGTGTGTCTAAACAGACCCCTTATCCCGGGATTATTCAAAGATATGATAGCTTTGCATCCACTGGGAATGAATGTAATAGAGTGCAGCTCGGCCAATCGTAATCAAGGTACACAACTATTTGCTTTAAACAGCTTTTATAGGTGCACAACTACCATTTCTGATTTTGATGCGATTCTCACACATCAACCATTCATATCTTTTAAAGGGATAGTTCACCTTCAGTTGCTGGTCCCTATTGACTTGCATAGTGTGTTTTTCCTCCATTCTATGAAAGTCAGTGGTTACCAGCAACTGAAGGTGAACTATCCCTTTAAAAGACGTGAAGTATAATGGTAAATAAACAAAGATATGCATGTGCCAATGCCAATTACAGAAAGACAAATTCACTGTTAATATAATACTTTCAAAAAAGAATCTGTGATTAAAAATAACATTTTATTCACATTCTAATAATAGTTGCCTATAAAAGCGATAAGTGATTGCCCGTCCAGATGTAGGATCTTCTGGATCGACAAAAAAAATACAAGTTTCAGAAATGTCATCTCCAAAGTGTGTTTATCACAGGTTTAGTACGACATGCGGGCGAGTAATGATGACCTCTGGCTGAACAATCCCTTTCATGTTGAGCAAATTCTCATTACTTACAGTGATGTTCATCTCAAAGGAAGGTTTTGTGTGGTTGCCCACTTCAGCAGAGGAAAATACACACTGCATCCCAGTGGAATATGTATATTTAGCACTGTTCCTCAGGCTCCACTGTGGGTTTCTTTGTGGTGTGTCTAAACAGACCCCTTATCCCGGGATTATTCAAAGATATGATAGCTTTGCATCCACTGGGAATGAATGTAATAGAGTGCAGCTCGGCCAATCGTAATCAAGGTACACAACTATTTGCTTTAAACAGCTTTTATAGGTGCACAACTACCATTTCTGATTTTGATGCGATTCTCACACATCAACCATTCATATCTTTTAAAGGGATAGTTCACCTTCAGTTGCTGGTCCCTATTGACTTGCATAGTGTGTTTTTCCCCCATTCTATGAAAGTCAGTGGTTACCAGCAACTGAAGGTGAACTATCCCTTTAAAAGACATGTGAAGTATAATGGTAAATAAACAAAGATATGCATGTGCCAATGCCAATTACAGAAAGACAAATTCACTGTTAATATAATACTTTCAAAAAAGAATCTCAGTGATTAAAAATAACATTTTATTCACATTCTAATAATAGTTGCCTATAAAAGCGATAAGTGATTGCCCGTCCAGATGTAGGATCTTCTGAATGTCTTCATGTCCGCAGGAGAAGTTTTATTCATTTATTTGCTGCTGTGTAGCTGTGCTCAAATGTTTTCTTCTGTCATCATGACTGTTCCTTTCCCTTCCTCCGAGGCGTGTTTATCTCTTCTGATAAAACTAGAGGTAGTATTTATTGAAAAGTCAATAGATAAAGGTTTTTCTGTATATATGATTTGTTAAAAACAACAACGACACACAATGCAAGAGACATACCTTTTGCATTTCTGCATTTGTTCCAGAGTCTCGGGCAGCACTTTTCCAAACGTCTCCGGCAGAAACATGTTTGTTACTGAGGATGCAATGGTCAGGCTTCCCATCAGGATGTAGGGCAGATATTTGTTGAAAGTACCTTTACGAATAGAGAGAACACGAGGTCGTTTCTCCAGTCCACTGTGATGCAGATGATTCGACACACAGGACAGGATTTACCCAGGAATATGATGTAAGGTGCGGTGATGCTGCCGATGCGAGCGGCTGAGGAGCACATGCCGATGCCCAGGTTTCTCAGCACGGTGGGATAGAGCTCCGCTGTGTAGATGTAGACCACGGTGAAGGACATGGTGAAGCCAAACTTACCGGCCATCTCTAATGCCAGTGCCAGAGTATGCAGACCTGTGAAAGAGCCTCTTCAGTATAATGACCACAGCATTTAATAAAACAGCCTTACCTGATGATCAGCCGTGGCTCGTCTGTAACTGTGACGAGACATAAATGACCCACCCTGACTGAAAACATGAATTCCGAAGCAGTTATGTTTATTTACTGTATATAGTAGCCTACAGAAGAACATCTGGGGTGT